CATGGCCAATTGTCATGTCCTTACTGTATGGAGATGACACAATCTTTTTATCTTCAAAATGGTCGGAAACCATGTTTTTTTGATTGTCATCGTCAGTTTTTACCAAAATCACATTGTTTCAGATTTGATCAGAGTAATTTCTTGAAGGGTCGGGTTGAATTAGGCAATCCCCCTCCTCGATTGGATGGTGTTTCAATGCATCACCGAGTTGAAAACCTTCCTGATGTGTTGTTTGGGAAACCCTCTGAAAACCAAACAATTGAGGGTTTTGGGAACATCCATAATTGGGTGAAAAGGTGCATTTTTTGGGAACTTCCTTATTGGTATGATAATCTTATTCGACATAATCTTGATGTAAAGCACTGTGAGAAAAATTTCTTTGATAATATAATACACACTGTTATGAATGACAATAAGACAAAAGACAATGGGAAAGCAAGTTTGGATTTAGCCATTTATTGTGACCGAAGAAAACTGCACATGGGATATAATACGCATGGTAAGCTTGTGAAACCTAATGCTAGTTATGCACTGACATCTGAAAAACAAAAGCTTCTATGTGCATGGCTAAAACAGTTGCGCTTTCCAGATGGGTTTGCTTCCAACATATCAAGATGTGTCAACTTGAATGAGTCCAGGTTATTTGGGATGAAAAGTCATGATTGTCATGTTTTCATGCAACGACTAATTCCAGTTGCTTTTTGCGGTTTATTGCCATCTGCTATTTGGGGTCCTTTGACCGACATTAGTAACTTCTTTCGTTCACTTTATTCCCTGATCATTAAAGTTACTGAGATGCAGAAGTGGGAGGCAAAGATTGTTGAAATAATTTGTAAGTTAGAAATAATATTCCCCCCCGCATTCTTTGATTCTATGGAACATCTAGCAATTCATCTTCCATATGAGGCCAGAGTTGGTGGTCCTGTTCAATTTCGTTGGATGTACCCATTTGAAAGGTAAAACATACAAAGAAATTGATTGATAATTTTAAAACTTACTTTTGATTACTTTTTTGTAAATTAATCTTATCAGTATTTCTTTTCAGGCGCATGCGCAAACTTAAGAGTACCATAGGGAATAAAAATCATGTCGAGTCATCAATTGTTGAGGCATTTATATTATACGAGATATCCCACTTTTGCTCTCGTTATTTTGGGGATGATGTTGAGACAAGCTGGAATCAGCCTCCAAGGAACTA